AGTACTTGAGACTTGGCTAACTGACAACTGATTCCATCCGGTGATGTGTGGTCTGATAATATGTCACACCCTGGTGCATGAGACTTGGCTAACTGACAACTGATTCCATCTGGTGATGTGTGGTCTGGTAATATGTCACACCCTGGTACTTGAGACTTGGCTAACTGACAACTGATTCCATCCGGTGATGTGCGGTCTGGTATTGTGTCAGACCCAAATACCTGAGACTTGGCTACCTGACAACTGATTCCATCCGGTGATGTGTGGTTTGGTAATATGTCACACCCTGGTACTTGAGGCTTGCTTAACTGACAACTGATTCCATCCGGTGATGTGCAGTCTGGTAATATGTCACACCCTAGTACTTGAGACTTGGCTAACTGACAACTGATTCCATCTGGTGATGTGTGGTCTGATAATATGTCACACCCTGGTACATAAGACTTGGCTAACTGACAACTGATTCCATCTGGTGATGTGCGGTCTGGTATTGTGTCAGACCCAAATACCTGAGACTTGGCTACCTGACAACTGATTCCATCCGGTGATGTGTGGTTTGGTAATATGTCACACCCTGGTACTTGAGGCTTGCTTAACTGACAACTGATTCCATCCGGTGATGTGCAGTCTGGTAATATGTCACACCCTAGTATTTGAGACTTGGCTAACTGACAACTGATTCCATCTGGTGATGTGTGGTCTGATAATATGTCACACCCTGGTACATGAGACTTGGCTAACTGACAACTGATTCCATCTCGTGAAGTGTGGTCTGGTATTATGTCACACCCTGGTACTTGAGACTTGGCTAACTGACAACTGATTCCGTCTTGTGATGTGCAGTCTGGTAATATGTCACACCTTGGTATTTGAGGCTTGGCTACCTGACAACTGATTCCATCCGGTGATGTGTGGTCTGGTAATATGTCACACCCTGGTACTTGAGACTTGGCTAACTGACAACTGATTCCGTCCTGTGATGTGCAGTCTGGTAATATGTCACACCTTGGTATTTGAGGCTTGGCTACCTGACAACTGATTTCATCCGTTAATGTGCGGTCTGGTAATATGTCACACCCTGGTACATGAGACTTGACTAACTGACAACTGATTCCATCCGGTGATGTGCGGTCTGGTATTGTGTCAGACCCAAGTACTTGAGACTTGGCTAACTGACAACTGATTCCATCTCGTGAAGTGTGGTCTGGTAGTATGTCACACCCTGGTACTTGAGACTTGGCTAACTGACAACTGATTCCGTCTTGTGATGTGCAGTCTGGTAATATGTCACACCTTGGTATTTGAGGCTTGGCTACCTGACAACTGATTCCATCCGGTGATGTGTGGTCTGGTAATATGTCACACCCTGGTACTTGAGACTTGGCTAACTGACAACTGATTCCGTCCTGTGATGTGTAGTCTGGTAATATGTCACACTCTGGAACTTGAGACTTGGCTAACTGACAACTGATTCCATCTAGTGACGT